TGATGTATGTGAATAAGGATGAAAGGATAACGTGATAATTACCGATGATGGAGTTTCCTTGGCTGGCTATCAGGCAATGCTCTGTGCTGGCTTGGGAAGTGTTGCTCGCTTGGCAAAGACTCGATTATTTACAGACCGCTGTCCTATAGCTGGAATATTGCTAGGTTCGGCGTTAAACAACAAACAAACAAACGATGAGAGTGATTTTAAGAGTATGTGAATAAGGCTGAAAGGATAACGTGATAATTACCGATGATGGATTTCTCCTTGGCTGGCTATCAGGCAATGCTCTGTGCTGGCTTGGGAGGTGTTGCTCGCTTGGAGTACAAACTGCAACTGGGGTAAGGGCTGCCTTGGTAGCATCAAGGGATGTAGCTAATACTAAATAAACATAAAACAAGTGACATCACCTCTTCTACAGAACACATGATCAAGGCCTGCCCACCCTTTGATGTTTATTACCTTGCTACTCTAAAAACAGCTAATTAGCAAAATGAACTCAATGTCAACTCATTGTGGACTAGGGATTAACAGGGCAATTAGTGTCGGGTGGGTATTAGTACTTGCGATTGTCTGTTAATTACTTAATTGAGTAGTGACGGCTTAGTCAGTTGTGCCTTTATAACCACGCTGACTGCTATTCAACTTATCAAGTCGGTTTACTATGTAACATGCTTCTTGGGACCAAGGAAATGTATCTTGCTGGATAACTGTTTTTTTCTAATTTATCAGAGATCAGAAATGATAATAATGACGTTTTTGTTGTACAGTTCTTTGTTGTGTTCACTAGGATGATTAGTAGTGATGGTGTTTGAATTATTAGACACTATTTATTCCAAAAGAGGAAGAGGGTTGGTGAAGAGGCAAAGCTTATTTGAACAACATATACATTTAATAAACAGAAACTGTACAAAAAACAGATTAACTGTATCTACAGTTGAAACTATCATGATGCAAATTTTCACTGAATCAAAGTCATATCTTTTCAAGACTCAGATCAGGTTGTAGTGATTGAAGGTCACATGTTAATTTCAAATCACTCATCCCGCACTTATGATTTGGTTTGTTGTTTTATGCCGTACTCAAGCAATATTCCCGCTATATGTAAATAATCGAGTCTGGACCAGACAGTCCAGTGATTGTCATCATGAGCATCGACCCATGCAATTGGGATCAATGACATGCATCAACCAAGTCACCGAGCCTGACCGCCACCTGATCGCGTTAGTCAACTCTTTAGACAAGCATTGTCGCCCGTTACAGCAAGTATTGGGTTACTTTACATTTGTGTGTCCAAATTACGCCATTATTAGAAATAAAATGTATTTAACACATGAATATGATATAAAAATGGCAAATATGGTTGACAATATGAGCATTAATCTAAGCATTTGGAGCAGAATTGTGAATATTCACCAAATGAAGGAGTAAGTACATACTCCGAAATGTTGTGATCATCATAAAAAAGAAGTTGACATCAATACATTCTCCACCTTTAAGTCCTTATGTGTATAACTTGTAAATAACTTTCATAGACTTCAGGAGTTTATCTGTGATATATGTGTGCACTTAAAAAAATCACTGCGTCCTTACCTGAGGATAATAGGCAGGAACAGACAAAAATAGTCGTAGTTGTAGCCAGATACAGGTATTTGAAGATTTTCAGTTGTGGCGACACTTTCAGTGAAACCCATACAGTATTTGATTTGTAGTAGTTAACGGTTCGGTATTTTCTGTCTGTAACTGTAAAGTGTAAGCGAGTAACTGCCCAGACATAAGGAGGAACAAGATGACATAGATATTAACCCATTTGTAAACTGTACAGCCTGAAGTATGTTTGTTGCCACATATCAATAAAATAGTTCCATATTGGCTGATTTATTTGTTGTAATGTAAGGGCAGAAATAGCATCAGTTATTACTGTCAAATATATCTTGTAAAACCTTTCAACATGTTCAAATGACACAATCGAAAGGCCATTGTGAACAATTGTGATCTGACAGCACCATGTTAGGATTCTTAAATACAGTTTCAGCTTGACATTGAGTACTTTAAAAACTTTAAAGTGAAAAATACATTCACAATAAGTGAGCTGTGTCTGTGATTAATTTCGAAGGTAAACTTGTTTCAACGTTTAACAACTATTTGTGTTTGTATGAGACGATGTGTGTTGATTCCATATATTTTACTTCAAAGCATGTTATCACAATAAATTGAGTCGGGTATAGGATAAGTTGGAGCAGAGGCTAATTTCTAATGTAAACTTGTTTTAACATTTCACAATTATTGGTCTTTGCAAGTTTAATTTCATTTATTTTACCAAGGTAAAAAACAATAAGGAGTCATTTTCGTCAAGTAATAATCGCCGTTTTCGCTTTCGGCGAGTATTTCGCCGGTCAGTGCCATTTTGCTAAGGTGTCGTTTCAGCTATAACCCGGTTATTGCACATTATAGATTTCAATTTATATTTATAATCATTTTAACCACTGTAATAAGTAAAAAATGAAATAAAAGCATATAGAAAATAAAGGTGCTTTCATAAACAAGCACTTGTTATAAAATGCGCATCCGCAGGCAATATTTATCAGATAATCCCGCATGTAGCTGTGACCATCACACTGAAGATGCACTTCACTTCTTTCTCACATGCCCAAATTACAATGATTTAAGACAGAATATGTACTATTATGTTAAGGGATATGATCTAAATTCAATTGTATTAGGTAATCCTGAAAGGACGTCAAAAATAAACTTAGACATTCTTAAATCAGTACAAGACTACATTCAGCTATCCAATAGGTTTTGTGATTTTACATAGCATCTTAAATTTATAATACTATTCCTTGCAGTATATTGCAGTACACTATTACTTCTAAAAATGCGACCTGAGAGCGCCGACAACGTAGTTTCTATAATAAGAACATGTATATAATTGTATTTCTTGACTGTACCTATGTCATATCATATTGTATTCTAATTCCGGAGCGGTATTCAAATAAGTTTTTGCTTGTTTACTCATCCAGTTCACAAGTTGTGAAATAAATATGTTTAAAACAATATTTAGTAAACAAATAATTAAAACTTATGCAACAACATAGCGTATGGAGACGATAGACCACTGAAAAGAGCATATATATGCACACCCAATGACCCCTGACATCACAAGGCATTGTTTTGCCAGTGTGTCAAGCAACAAAAATACGAATCACATCACAGGGTATTGTGACCTGTTTGAAAAGTTAGGTACTGTATTCTTAAGGTAGGCCAAAGATTCTAGACAATCCAGTGATTGATATTGTGAACATCAATCCACACTGTAAGGTGGTCACTGTCAGATGCCATGAACCAGGTCACCAAGCCTGATCACCCGATCTATTAGGTTATCTCTTATGGGTGAGGCTAAAACGGCACCTCAGCAAAATGTCATTGCTTTCTTGGACGAAAACAGCACCTTGTTTTGGCAAAAAGGGCTACTAATTGTTGTCTGTTATCTGGAGAGACATGTTGATTCCTGGCCGAAAGATATATAAATGAAATTTCTATAAAATTACTATTTATTTCCTACTTACTAAAATAAATATGAAATATATAGTATACCTGTTGTCCAGTTTCTTGACAACTTCAAAGCATGTGATCTTTCAATGATAAGTTGCACCTCCCAATCAGAATCATGAGTAAATTTGAGCAGAGGCTAATTTCTAATGTAAACTGTTTTTAGGTGATTAACATTTAACAATTATTTGTGTTTGCAAGTTTAATTGCATTTATTTTACTTATAAGAAATCAAAGCAAGTTTTATTTTCACAATAAGTTTAGTTGCATCTCCAAATCTGAGTCGGCGAGTAGATGCTATTTTCTAATGTAAACCTTTTTGAACATTTCTCAGTTATTTGTGTTTACAAGTGACCATGCAAGTTTAATTTCATGTATTCGGGCTTATTCAGACCCAAGGTAAAATAAATAACAAGGTGCTGTTTTCACCAGGCAATAGTAGGCGAGGTGCTATTTCGCTTTATAGTATAACCCTCTTACAACTAGCATAGGTTGATGGGGACCAATTCCAACCCGGAATCCCCATATGAGTGGGTATGGTTTTACGCTGTTTTTAGCAATACCACAGCAAGGGACACCTGACATAGACTTCACACATTGTACCCATGACAAGAATCAAACCTTGGTCTTCAGCACTTTACCCACTACCCCATCGCCAAAATTCCCAACATGATAAAGTTGTCATCATGCTATTCTTCAACAAGTTCAAGTGAAAATATCCATACCTTTCAAATGTCTTGTCTTCCACTTCACTATGTTCACTGTTGCAAAACTCCTGTCAATTAATGTGTTCTTGATTCTTCACACCTGCAAAAGTAAGTTGAGGCGGTACGGTTTGAATTAAAAATATAAGTCACATTAGAGTATCTAGATAAAGGAATATAAGTAAGCAAACATATTTCTACATCATATACATTAGCAAGGATTAACATAAGTTAGGTAGATTGCTTATCCTACAAAAATTAAATCACACATTTACTAACATATATAAAACAGAATAAGTGGCTTACAGAAGATAAATAACTTTAATACGTGATCAATATTATTCACATATTCCTTACCTGAATCAGAGACCATATAACAGTCTATGTATTATGGTCTCTGTCTGAATATGTCACGTCTTCAGCTCCCTGCAATCGAGGTTGTGAAACATTTCTGCTGTAGGAATATTACGTCCGCTGGGATATCCCTTGTCACACTGCCTTGTATGGTAGGCAAACGCATATTCCATACACGACGTAGATATACTTCCTAATACACACTGTCGAAATCCCCGCAGCTCCCAATATGGCCTGTATGAACTGTAATCGGCCAACCTCGTCTCTTTCCGTAACTGCTGCAGAAATGACCGCTCGTCATTCGTGACCAACTCGTGTTATTCCGGGACAAGCAAGTCTACCCATAACTCCCTGTATGGCCGAGGGCGTCATTTTGGAACACAAATGTAAACAAACACTCAAACCTCGTGTAATCAATGTACACCGTGATGCTTGATTGCGATATGCTTACCTCGTGTATCGATACATTGTTCTCAATCACCTCTAACACGGAAATCCCGGTCGAAATCTACCTGAGCCATCCACAACGAGGACGTCAAGTATTTCGAAAACTCGATTGACAGCCGAAGGAGGAGCAGCTTGCGGATGCCAGGTACGTAGCAGGGCTTGGATACATATTGTTCCATGATTTCTATACAGAGATCTTATGGAATGGTTTGATTTAGATATTTTCCTGATCTCCATGTTACTACTGTAAACGTCAAGGGCCTTTTAGTTTTGTTGTTTCGGAAACCTTTTGTTATTATTATGATGAAGTGTTTGTTGTGACATGGTATTTCTATTTGGGCTTGCATAAGAGCTACAGGTGCAGGACTTTTAACAGTTTAAAGGTTGTGTCCTTATTCTCAACATAACGCTGCGATTTGATGATGAGGGTTAGTTACCAAGGGTATAAATCTGTCAAAGTGCATGTCAAACAAAACGTGGCATTCAATTCCAATCAAGTGTTGCCACCTGAACCACCTGAAAGTGAGATATGGATTACAATGAATAATGACAGCTTATCAATCTTTAACAAATTCACACTGAAACATTGAAAGGATAAAGACAAGTTATTTGTTTTCTGTTTCAGCATGTTCAGGGTTTGTGGGGAGGTTCACAGACATCCTCAGGGGGATACAAAGTATTGAGTTAGTATTTTTGTTTGTGATAAATAGAAACTACATGTATTCATCATGGTATATTTCAATGCAATGTGAAACATCACACTCACAATAGTCCAGCTCTGTGATGGCAGCCTGTAAATAATTGAACATGGACCAGGCAATCTAGTGATTGTTATTATCAGCAAAGATCCATGCCCTCAGAGTATGATGACAACCTAGTCTGACCACCGAATTCATTAGTTTATTAGTGTTTGCAGCGGTAGAAACTAACACTTTCAGTCCACTAGTCCTGAAATGATAGCATATAGCAAAACCTTTAAAATGTCAAAATGACTAGTGCCAATTTCTAACCCTGGTGTTTGGATGTTGTGTTTGTGTGTGTATGTATGAGTGTATTTAACTTAAATCATGAATCTTATACTTGTTTCTCTGTGCTTTTACAATGTAACCCAAATTTTCTAGGGAATAATAAAGTATTCTCTTATTTATATCATTTCTGAACAAAGTGTCATATCAAGGTTAGATCTCTGTCAAAACAGCGCCATGGAAAAGCCAAACAAATAGCCTAGAAATAAAAGTAAATACTGCATTGCATTTATCTGCATTTCAAGAAAATTTGGCAATAATTCATGGAATGATATTCACCTCGGTGAGGATCTCTCTGCATTGTTGAACAAGTTATTTCCTATGTAATGTATGTGTTGAATGACCCTGATTTTGTTGTCAAAATATTGTTTTGACATTTGTTAAATATGAGGATAAATGTCATCTCTGAATGTTTGACATGAATTATTATAATTAGGGCAGTTCTAAGTCAGAATCACAACCGGGGTCTTTTCATTTGAATCAAATGTACAACATGTACAGTTTGGACATTTCTGTGATGTGAATGCTGCTTATGTTTGTAGAATGTCCGGATGAATAAAAGAGACAGTCATCTGTGCAGCATCAATGCAATGAAAGACCATAGAAGTGCAACAGTGGTAAATATTTTGAAATTATTCTGTTTGGTTCATATGGTTATTTTGCAAATATTTCTTCAGTTTGTTCCTTATCTCTGTGGGCACGGATGTCCTATTATCTAAGGCACTACAATTTTCTGTGCAGAGTTGCATCTCTTGGGCTTGGGCAGAAACCTATATTCATGGGTTCAAATCCTGGTTCTACCCGATTATGTTGCTAGGTTTGTCAGCATTATACACATGCCTGTGGGATTCATCAAAGGCCTGCATCACTTAGGGCTTTCTTCCCACATCAAGCTAACATGCGGTGATATATCTGGAATACTGTTCAAAGCAGTGTTAAAGCCAACTCATTTATTTAACACTGCATCCAGCAATAGATTGGCTATATGACAAGGATTGTAAATATATATTTTTCCATGTTGATGAGTTGAAACAGTCACTAAATGACATCACTTGAAAAGATTCCCAGCATTCCAAGCCTAATCAATAGATAAGGTAGTGATTGAGTAGGCTCATTGATCGCATGTAATCATACCACAGTGATGTGGGATATTGTCCATAATAGTTATCATCGGTTTGTCTGGACCGAGTTCATAACATTAATCACTGGTTTGTCTGGTTGAGATTTGAGATGTGATTATCTTAAATGTTAAGCATATAACAAGACTCACATATGATAACTTAAGTGATTTTGCTGCCTTCTATCTGTAAGTACATGTGGCAACAATTCTTTTTGATTGCTAAAATCTTTGTACATTATGCTGCAGAAACTGAAGTCCTGCTTGAGATCCCTGGATGAGTACTCCAGGTTGACAGTCTGGAAGGACCAGACAAGGGATTCCTAAACAGAGGGTGCACCCATTCAGATATCAGAGGTCGAGGGTCCTGTTATTTCAATGGAGGCCGACCGAGAAGTTGTATGCCAAATGGTACAGGGACACACAAAGGCTGGTCTGCCGAATGTGAGAAGACCAACCAATGCCAAGCTGGAGTGGAATTCTTCCAGGACATTCAGGAAATTCTTGTCTTGAGCCATGTGGTAAACACTTGAAAGGAATGATAAATGGGACTTATTGTCTTTAAATGTGGACCCAAACACCAAATGGAAAGTTCACAATTCTACTAACACAATGCAGCAGAGATAGAGTCCAACTGGTATCCCCTCATCCTGGTTCCTGTTCATCCATGACAATATAGAAAGAAAAGGAGTATTGAGGGAAAGTAAGTTCTCTGAACTGGTGAACATTATCCGTAGGTACTGTCAAGAGAACAGTTATCACCCTCTGTTATGAGTATTGAAGAATAGGATGAAATTGCATACTGCATCAGGAACCATCATGTGAACACTGTTCAATGTGCGATATACTATAGGCATATGAATAAAAGAAATTGATAATTTGATTGTTGCTTATGTTTTATTTGCCAGCTGTGTAAATGGGGATGTTTCATGATTTTGCCTCAGTTTAATAGCCACACTTATCCTTTAAAACCATCTATTGCTTGGGCATCTCAAGAATAAATAACACATGTTTCCTTTGCTCTGAAAACATCTGATGACACATGGATCTATTATGTCAAAGGTCAAAGTCACAACCAGACAAAAAGTTTGTTTGTGGTCTAACTCTTCCTTTGGGCAGGGGTCGAAGTTGGAAAAAGGTCGTGTGTGATCTATATATACTAAATTTTCCCCTAAATTGCCTTTTCTGCAGAAGTCTTAGTAACTCTTATACATATACTGGTTACATTACTTTCATATTTTTGTCAATGATATGTTGAATTCTACCAAAGGACTGCATATTTGGTTTATGTGCTGGATAGCTCTTTGAAATGTTTTTGAAATATTTATCACTGATATTGAAGGTCAAATTCACACTCAAAAGTGATAACTCATGAAGGGTTGAAGTGTAAGATCAAGGCAATAGTGACGGGGTCATTCATAAAGTATTTCTGCAATTATGGCTAAAATGCCTATTTCTGTATTAAGCACATAGTTGTTATATTATTTGAATACACATATATGAGCAGTGGTTACAACTCCAGTGTCAAATTAACTCTCAATCCCTTTTAATAAAAGAATTCACAGTAACTGAGGAAGAGCTCACTGTAGTACCATAAAACTAGGGTGAGGCAAATTTCAATGAAGTTAGTATTTTGGATATTACAAGTACATGTACCATTACAAATAGTCTCATTATCATCTCACTAGGACCAAAGGCCCAAGTGAGCACATTGTCAATGACTTTTTCTTTTTCTCAGTACAAACTGGAAGTATGGACATGAAATTTAAGGATATCGTTATGCGAGAACTGATGTTTGTTCATTAAATACCATTAACATCTGAAAAGGACAATATATGAAATTGAACAATTGTCTTCTCCAAAAATGTTTTAGGAGGATATTTACCAATAAAGTAACCCAGAATATTACAACAGCTACCTGTAATGCACATGCTAACATTATTTACCAGAAGCAAGTCATGAAGAAAATTTGCATCCGGATACCTTCCGGAAACCTTCCCGATGCCTTCAGCAACCTTCAAATTGCTTGGTATTTTCAAGTTAATTTTTTTATGTGTTTCACACTTAACTGAACAAAATGCACCCCCCAAATTTTGACATTTTTTTTTGGAAGGTTTCCGGAAGGTTTCCGGAAGGTATCCGGGCCGGATCCAAAATGGGTAGGTATCCGGTAGGTTTCCGGAAGGTTTCCGGAAGACGGAAACCTACACTTTTTTTGCTGTGCTCGATCGCCGAATGACAAGGGCAAGGCCATGTTTGTTTATAAACACTGAAAGTAGTCCCTGCTTGACCTTTGATATTTGCATCTCTCTCCGCATATGACCCCAGTGGATATCGTTTTTATCCGTTGGTTTTATCCTGCCGTGAAACCTACCCACTATATGATAAAGCAAATTATATGCCGTAGAAGTTTGATGTCTGTTCATGACAGTTGTCAGTTTTCAGTATCACGAGAGGTATCTCAGTTCAAATATGGAAAACACCCCTGAAAGCTTAAGTTATATGGTTTCTGTTACAGTCTCCCAGTACAACCTTTTCCAAGTACGGCAGCAGTTTGGAGATGTGACAGTCCAGGGCGCCAGGAATCTGAACATTGGCGGAACGCAGAACATCGGTACACCTCAGACCAACCCAGAGGAAGAGGAGAAGCCATTGACTGTTGCAGCACAGAAGATCAGGAGTGAGTTATCTAGATCTTTGTACTTGTTCTCACAATGATCGTTCAGCTTAGGCATATATATGTTGAAGTAAACGCTGGCTGTGATAATCTTCATATTTGCTCCAACTGTCACCTTGTCGACACAGTTTCTGTGTTCATGGATATAATTTACATTGAGTGTGGATAGCAAGTGATGAACCAAGCAAAGTTACTGAAGTATACTGAACCATCAATGTGGGCCCTTATTGTGTATTTAAACAGTAATATCCACGTATTGTCTTCAGATAACACCCGTTTTTGTGCAGGTGAATCAAAATCAGATCAAAATCATGGGCAGAGCACTATAGTGGCAAAAGTGTTTTTTCACGTGCAACTCGTCACGTTGCCATAATACCGCACGTGTTTTCAGCCATACTTCTTAGCAGTCGTTTAAAAAAAAGAAACACATAAGAAAACAAAAGTATTTACGGTCATTTGTCATTCCACGCCTTTCAAATGTGCAACGATGGACGATGGGTTGTAGTCTACGGACTGTTTATGATTTACATACGCGTCTACAGCAAACGGGTACCACCGCTGATCGCCCTCGGCCAGGTCGACCACGTGTGACGTCACATGCAGAGGATCGTCAGATTGTCTTACGTCACCTCCGTAAAAGATTTTTGACGGCTACATCAACCAGAAATGAACTGTTTAGGGGTAGACTGAGTGCGAAAACTGTTCGAAACCGTCCGAGAACTGCTCACCTTCAAGCACGACGGCCATACTGCAGGGCCGATTCTGTCTCAATTACACAGACGTCAACGTCAATTGTGGGCACAGCGACACTTACGATGGACTCAAGTCGTCTTCGGTGATGAATCCCGATTTAATCTTTGATTTGCTGATGGTAAGGCGAAGGTGTGGAGGCGCCGTCATTAACGTTACGCCCAGTGTTGTGTACAGGAAGTTGACATATTTCGAGGCGGAAGTGTCATGGTGTGGGGTGCCTTCTGTGGCAATGCACGTTCCAGGCTTCTTGTCATCCTTGGCAACCTTAACGCTGCTGCTTACCGCGACCAGGTACTGGCACCAGAACTTCTGATTTTATGGCAGCACATGGACCCGGTTTGATCTTCCAACACGACAATGCCAGACTACACACAGCAATTTTGAAAAGGAATTTCCTTCAGAATGCGGGAGTCAACGTCATGGATTGGCCGTCAAGGTCTCCCGACCTCAATCCCATCGAACACGTCTGGGATGCTCTTGGCAGAAGTCTGCGCACTTTCCAGAACCAACCAAAAAATTTGCAAGATCTTGGCACTATTTTGCAGCAACAATGGCGTCGTCTTCCCAATCATGTGTTCACAAGCATCACAAGGTCCATGCCGAGGCAGTGTGTGGCAGTTGTCAAAGCACATGGTGGCCATACATGCTACTGAACTTGTGTGTCATCAGATTAATGTGCTTTGGACTTATGATTTAAACTGTTGATGTTATTACCGAATACCGTAGGTGCTTGGAACAAAGTATGGTTACCACCGTTAACTAAAATCCTTCTTTGGACATGAATGAATAAAAATTACCTTCTCTGATACATTTGTCCGTTGTATATCATATATGGGATTACTTTTAAAAAATGGGAAGTTTTTAATTTGACTCAGTATATTATTTCTTGCTCTCTGTTCACTTCACACAATGTTACAATTCTACAGGACCATATTAAAAATTGCAGCATGTCTATATGATTTTGTCGTCTATATCACTCAGATCAAATGTAAGTTGGTCAGATGTGAGGGCGTATTTGTATCTAGTGATACAACATACCCAGTAGAAATTCATACAACATCTATGGCAACTCCTAAGTACCTGGAAGATAATATCAACCAATACATATGAATCAGAATTTCTGCTCGGATTGGCAAAGTGAGCAGAAAACTAGATAATTGTGCCAAGACGTTTACCTCAGGCTTCAGGTATATTAGTGATCGGATATCAGTCAATGACCCTTTCACTGATTTAGCCACCTGAACTATAAATAAGGGAGACCAGTGAAAACATCTGGTCTGTTTTTCGTATTCAGATCTATGAGTGAAGATTGTGAGTGACACAACACTGTCCACAAAACTGTATGACTGTATGGGGGATGACTTCAATTTTCAATGGTTAAAAAATTCCTTTAATGTCGAGTAAGATGTATATCCTCGCCTACGTGCAAGGACCTGGTATCATCCCTATTTGATAGTGATTCATAAACAGGTGATTGTGATATACAGACATAATCATACAGTGGTCTGTTTCTTAGGATTATCAATATGAGTTTTGTCACTTTAATACTATACTTTGATATTCTGGCTGCTTCGTTGATATGAAACTTTGTTATGATCCACAAGCAGAGCGAGCACTATTCAAACGTAACTTAAACTGTCTACTCACTGGATCAGAACCATAATTTGCAGAGGTATATTGAAAAATCGAGAAATGCTGTGAATAAGCAGTGTTTCTATTTTTTTTAAAATGAAGGTTGCACATTCGATTTATGAGGTTTCGTGAAAACTATTGTTTGTATATTGACAATATTCAACATTCACAGGATTTATTTAGTGTTGTCCATCCTCTTGGTTAAATTATGTGATATGCTACTAATTGTTTTACAGTCCTTGATGACAGGATTATATTTCATATACTATTTGTGAATATTGTAGTTACAGTGTGGATGAAATATTGTTAAAATGTTTAATCCACTCACTCACTGACACATTTCAACATCGGGGATCTCAACTGTATGTGATTGATAATGGCTACACATTATTCCTTTAATTGAGGACAAATTAAAATATGGCAGACTGTATACTTTTATATATATTATTATATAGCTTATAGATACATCAGATTTGCCTTGTTTTCACAGAAAGAACGGAATCTAGGACTCAGTCAATGACTAAAGACATGGTGGAGACAGAAGCCCTCCAGAAAGTGACGGAAAAGCTGGACAGAGGTGCAACATGGGTGACAATTAAAGGAAGGCCAGGAGAGGGGAAGTCTACAATAGCCTACATGACCCTCAAAGATCAGCACACTCAGGGGAGACAAGTGTATCAGGTGGTGTCACCAGAAGAGTTCAATGAGGTCATAACGGCCAGCACAAACCCTGTCATTATGTTAGATGACATATTCGGTGATCTAGAATTTGATGTAGCAGAATGGGCAAAGTGGAGGCCCAGTCTACGACCTATTGTGGATATGAAGGATCCAGACAAGACCACTCAAGAGGACTCTATGGATAAGTCCACTAAAAGTAAAAAAGAGAGAACAAAGGATGAGCAAACAATGCTAAAGAGAACAGCACCAAACAAAGGCAAAACTATCATTATCCTCGTAGGCCGTGACTATGTACTGAAATCCTCACTGGCAGACTTGGGAAGGATGGCAGATTACATATCTAGTCCCCAGTATGTGGTGGAAGTTTCCTCACAGAGAGACTCTAATGAACGAAGGAAGATATGGCATGTTCATGCCAAAACAAAAAACATAGACTTTGATGAGTCAACCGTGTCTCGGATATGTCAATCTGACTGTCCACACGGTTTTCCCCACGTGTGTAAAATGTTTGTCACATCATGTGAAAAGGATCAGACTCAGCTTCCAGTAGATAATTTTTTTCAAGCGCCTCTGGCATTCCTCCAACAGACCCTGAATAAATTTCTTAAAGATGAGATAAAGGTTTCCCTGTTCAAGGCTATGATTAAAAGGGATGGAAAGATTAGTGGACAAGAGTTTGAGGAGGAGGACGCCCATGGATACAAATACATAACAGCTGCTGATGATTTAGTTGGATCTTACCTCAAGAAGGAAGATGACACATACATGTTTGACCATCCCTCTATATATGACAGTGTCGCTTTAATTCTCAGTACAAAACAGACAAAGTTTGTCATCGATTTTTGTAGTTTGTCATTCATCCATCAGCGACTTCATCTTAAAGCCTCCGCAAGACCCGGGGAAAACGTTCCTGGTGAGACAGGTCTTGTTGCAAACATCTCATGGAACTATGCTGAACATTTAGCAAGAAGATTTGCAACTGAAATTTCAAGGAGCAATTTCTTGCATGTCTTATCGCACCAGGCATGCTGTAATTCAAACTTCATTGACTTGCTAATGGACTGCCTGAAGACGCAGTGTCACATGTCTGTCTCTGATATTCCCAAACTAGCTGATAACTCTTCAAAACAGTCATTTTGTGAATTAATTTCTAGCAGCAAGTCACACCATCTCATCAAATTTATTATTGAGAAAGAAAACAGAACATTCAGCCAGCGTGAACTGAGAGACATTTTACTTGGGGTGTGCATGAATGCTGCTTGTAGTGTACTGACCTATATCAGTAAACACCAGCAGCTTGAGATAGACGCTAGATATGGTTTGATGAAGAAAACGCCACTTATGTTAGCAGCAGAAACTAAAGACAGTGTTTTTGTAAATCAGATTATGGCCCTTCACCCTAACCTGAATGCTAGAGACTGTCAAGATCGAACTGTCTTTCAATACCTTTGCACAAATGGTCTTACATCAGCTGTTGAACATGCAATCAACATTGGTATGGATGTTATTTTTCCACGAGAACACCACCAACGCCCTCTATACCTTGCCATAAAAAATGGCCATGTTGGTGTGGTGGAACTGCTGCTACATAAAGGATGGGATATAGACAAACAGAGAGGTCTTGAATGTGCATTCGAGAGCCAGAACACGCATATGACGCGTTTCTTTTTAGACAGAGGAGCACAGGTTGACGGTAATGTTGTGTGCATTGCTTGTCGGTTGAAAAACTTGCCTATCATCAAGATGTTGTTTGAGGAGGGTGCTAAAGTTGACATGATTTCATCAGCTGGCGATACTCCTCTTCACAGTTCATGTGGAAGAAACCCTAATGTTCTCTCGTTTTTGTTGGAGAAAGGAGCAAATGTGAATGTACAGAACACCACAGGTGAGACACCACTTCATACAGCAGCAGGATGGCGTGGATATACAGAGTGTGTTGAAGTGTTACTGAAGGCTGGAGCTAATATGAATGTACAGAATAATACAGGTGACACACCACTTCATAAAGCAGAAAAAGCATGGGGTAGATCTGCAGAGTGTGTTGATGTGTTACTGAAGGCTGGAGCTAATGTGAATGTACAGAATAATACAGGTGACACACCACTTCATGCAGCAGCTGCAGGAACAAGATCGTTATCTGAAGGGTGTGTTGAGGCGATACGGAAGGCTCGAGCCAAAATGAATTTTCAGAATAATACAGATGACACACAACTTGATGCAGAAGATGAAGCAGTAGAATGGATGTCTGTATGGTGTGTTGATGTGTTACTGAAGGCTGGAGCTCATGTGAATGTACTAAACAATGCAGGTGACACACCACTTCATGAAGCAGCAGTAGCAGCAGCAAGGGATGGATTTACAGGGCGCGTTGATGTGTTGCTGAAGGCTGGAGCTTATGTGAATGTACAGAATAATGCAGGTGACACACCACTTCATAAAGCAGAAAAAGCATGGGGTGGATCTGCAGAGTGTGTTGATGTGTTGCTGAAGGCTGGAGCTTATGTGAATGTACAGAATAATACAGGTGACACACCACTTCATTCAGCAACTGAAGCAGAAGATCGGACATCTGCATGGTGTGTTGATGCGTTACTGAAGGCTGGAGCCAATATCAATTTACAGAATAATGCAGGTGACACACCACTTCATAAAGCAGAAAAAGCATGGGGTGAATCTACAGAGTGTATTGATGTGTTGCTGAAGGCTGGAGCTTATGTGAATGTACAGAATAATACAGGTGACACACCACTTCATAGAGCAGCTGCAGGACCAGATTGGTTATCTGAAGGAAGTGTTGAGGCGATACTGGAGGCTCGAGCCAATATGGATTTTCAGAATAATACAGATGACACACAACTTGATGACGACGATGAAGCAGTAGAATGGATGTCTGTATGGTGTGTTGATGTGTTACTGAAGGCTGGCGCTCATGTGAATTTACAGAACAATGCGGGTGACACACCACTTCATGAAGCAGCAGCAGTAAAGGAGTGTATATCTGCAGAGTGTGCTGATTTGTTACTGAAGGCTGGAGCTGATATGAATGTACAGAACAATAACGGTGACACACCACTTCATAAAGCAGCATCAGGTGCACTTTTGCATGAGTCTAGAGAGGTTGTTGTCGTGTTACTGAAGTCTGGAGCTAATATGAATGTACAGAACAATAAAGGTGACACACCACTTCATAAAGCAGCATCAGGTGCACTTTTGCATGAGTCTAGAGAGGTTGTTGTCGTGTTACTGAAGTCTGGAGCTAATATGAATGTACAGAACAATAAAGGTGACACACCACTTCATAAAGCAGTAGCAGCAGCTCCAAAAATATACGAAACATGGAGTGAACCTAAAAAGTGTGTTGGTTTGTTTCTGAAGGCTGGAGCTAATGTTAATGTGCAGAATGATACAGGTCACACGCCACTTCATTCAGCAGTAATATATGGATATATAAGGTGTGTTGATGCGTTACTGGAAGCTGAAGCTAATGTGAATGTACAGAATGATACAGGTGAGACACCACTTCATTCAGCAGTATTAAATGGACCTTCAGAGAGTGTTGATGCGTTACTGGAAGCTGAAGCTAATGTGAATGTACAGAATAATACAGGTGACACACCACTTCATAAAGCATTATTGTATGGATTTACAGACTTTGTTGTTGCGTTACTGGAAGCTGAAGCTAATGTGAATGTACAGAATGATACAGGTGACACACCACTTCATACAGCAGGACTGAGGGGATTTTCAACGTGTGTTGGTTTGTTACTGAAGGCTGGAGCTCATGTGAATTTACAGAACAATGCAGGTGACACACCACTTCATAAAGCAGCAGCTGCAGCAAAAAATCGGATATCTGCAGTGTGTGTTGATGCGTTACTGAAGGCTGGAGCCAATATCAATTTACAGAATAATACAGGTGACACACCACTTCATAAAGCAGCATCAGGTGCACTTTGGCATAAGTCTAGAGAGGTTGTTGTCGTGTTACTGAAGTCTGGAGCTAATATGAATGTACAGAACAATAAAGGTGACACACCACTTCATAAAGCAGTAGCAGCAGCATCAGAAGAAGATGCAACATGGAATGAACCTACGGAGTGTGTTGGTTTGTTTCTGAAGGCTGGAGCTAATGTTAATGTGCAGAATGATACAGGTCACACGCCACTTCATTCAGCAGTAACAGATAGATATATAGGGTGTGTTGATGCGTTACTGGAAGCTGAAGCTAATGTGAATGTACAGAATGATACAGGTGACACACCACTTCATTCAGCAGTATTATATGGATCTTCAGAGTGTGTTGATGCGTTACTGGAAGCTGAAGCTAATGTGAATGTACAGAATAATACAGGTGACACACCACTTCATGCAGCAGCAGTGAAGGGATTTTCAGAGTATGTTGGTGTGTTGCTGAAGGCTGAAGCTCATGTGAATGTACAGAATAATACAGGTGACACACCACTTCACAAAGCAGCAGCAGCAAGGGATGGATCTACAGGGTGTGTTGATGTGTTGCTGAAGGCTGGAGCTCATGTGAATGTACAGAATAATACAGGTGACACACCACTTCATGCAGCAGCAGTGAGGGGATTTTCAGAGTATGTTGATGTGTTGCTGAAGGCTGGAGCTTATGTGAATGTACAGAATAATGCAGGTGACACACCACTTCATAAAGCAGCAGCAGCAAGGGATGGATCTACAGCGTGTGTTGATGTTTTGCTGAAGGCTGGAGCTCATGTGAATGTACAGAATAATACAGGTGACACACCACTTCATAAAGCAGCAGCAGCAAGGGATGGATCTACAGCGTGTGTTGATGTGTTGCTGAAGGCTGGAGCTAATGTAAATGTACAGAATAATGCAGGTGACACAGCAGTTATATAGCAGCAAGATGGGGATCTGCAGGGTCAGTTGATATCTTACTGAAAGCTTTAGCTAATGTGAATGTACAGAATAATACAGGTGACACACCACTTCATGCAGCAGCAGTGAGGGGATTTTCAGAGTATGTTGATGTGTTGCTGAAGGCTGGAGCTTATGTGAATGTACAGAATAATGCAGGTGACACACCACTTCATAAAGCAGCAGCAGCAAGGGATGGATCTACAGCGTGTGTTGATGTGTTGCTGAAGGCTGGAGCTCATGTGAATGTACAGAATAATACAGGTGACACACCACTTCATGCAGCAGCAGTGAGGGGATTTTCAGAGTATGTTGATGTGTTGCTGAAGGCTGGAGCTTATGTGAATGTACAGAATAATGCAGGTGACACACCACTTCATAAAGCAGCAGCAGCAAGGGATGGATCTACAGCGTGTGTTGATGTGTTGCTGAAGGCTGGAGCTCATGTGAATGTACAGAATAATGCAGGTGACACACCACTTCATAAAGCAGCAGCAGCAAGGGATGGATCTACAGCGTGTGTTGATGTGTTATTTAAGGCTGAATGTACAGAAGAATAAAGGTGACACACGACTTCATATAGCAGCAGAAGTTGCACATCGGCATTAATCTACAGAGTGTGTTGGTGTGTTACTGAAGTCTAGAGCTCATATGAATGTACAGAACAATAAAGGGTTGCACACCACTTCATAAAGCAGCAGCAGCAGCAACAGAGAAGTGGATATCTGCAAAGTGTGTTGATGTATTACTGAAGACTGGAGCTCATGTGAATTTACAGAACAATGCAGGTGACACACCACTTCATAAAGCAGCAGCTGCAGCAAAAGATTGGATATCTGCAGTGTGTGTTGATGCGTTACTGAAGGCTGGAGCCAATATCAATTTACAGAATAATACAGGTGACACACCACTTCATAAAGCAGCATCAGGTGCACTTTGGCATAAGTCTAGAGAGGTTGTTGTCGTGTTACTGAAGTCTGGAGCTAATATGAATGTACAGAACAATAAAGGTGACACACCACTTCATAAAGCAGTAGCAGCAGCATCAGAAGAAGACGCAACATGGAATGAACCTACAGAGTGTGTTGGTTTGTTTCTGAAGGCTGGAGCTAATGTTAATGTGCAGAATGATACAGGTCACACGCCACTTCATTCAGCAGTAGCAGATAGATATATAAGGTGTGTTGATGCGTTACTGGAAGCTGAAGCTAATGTGAATGTACAGAATGATACAGGTGACACACCACTTCATTCAGCAGTATTATATGGATCTTCAGAGTGTGTTGATGCGTTACTGGAAGCTGAAGCTAAAGTGAATGTACAGAATAATACAGGTGACACACCACTTCATGCAGCAGCAGTGAGGGGATTTTCAGAGTATGTTGGTGTGTTGCTGAAGGCTTGAGCTCATGTGAATGTACAGAATAATACAGGTGACACACCACTTCACAAAGCAGCAGCAGCAAGGGATGAATCTACAGGGTGTGTTGATGTGTTGCTGAAGGCTGGAGCTAATGTAAATGTACAGAATAATGCAGGTGACACAGCAGTTATATAGCAGCAAGATGGGGATCTGCAGGGTCAGTTGATGTCTTACTGAAAGCTTTAGCTAATGTGAATGTACAGAATAATACAGGTGACACACCACTTCATGCAGCAGCAGTGAGGGGATTTTCAGAGTATGTTGATGTGTTGCTGAAGGCTTGAGCTTATGTGAATGTACAGAATAATGCAGGTGACACACCACTTCATAAAGCAGCAGCAGCAAGGGATGGATCTACAGCGTGTGTTGATGTGTTGCTGAAGGCTGGAGCTCATGTGAATGTACAGAATAATACAGGTGACACACCACTTCATAAAGCAGCAGCAGCAAGGGATGGATCTACAGGGTGTGTTGATGTGTTATTTAAGGCTGGAGCTAATGTGAAAGTACAGAAGAATAAAGGTGACACACGACTTCATAAAGCAGCAGAAGTTGCACATCGGCATGAATCTATAGAGTGTGTTGGTGTGTTACTGAAGTCTAGAGCTCATATGAATGTACAGAACAATAAAGGGTTGCACACCACTTCATAAAGCAGCAGCAGCAGCAACAGAGAAGTGGATATCTGCAAAGTGTGTTGATGTATTACTGAAGACTGGAGCTTATGTGAATGTACAGAATATTGCAGGTGACACACCACTTCATAAAGCAGCAGGAGAAGCAGCAAGGGATTGATATACTAAGAGTGTTAATGTGTTACTGCAGGCTGGAGCTCATGGCAATGTTCAGCACAGTACAGGTGACACACCACTATTTCATTGACCAGGACATCGAAACCTTATGAGAGATATGACACTGTGATTAGAAATAATTGGTAATAATATATATTATCCTAGTGTCATTGCTGATCGAAGGTTATGAATGTCGGACAGTTTGTGATATTAGCAAGCTCTTCTCTCTTTGTCCTTTGTCTCACTTCGTTACTGTTGGTGTGAGGGGTTTGTGTCGTTGATGGATGTTTTTTTTGTGGTTCAACACTGCACTCAGCAATATTCCAGCTATATGATGGCGGTCTGTAAATAATCGAGACTGGATCAGACATTTTAGTGATTGACATCATGAGAATCGATCTTCGCAATGGCAAATCTTTTTCAATTCATCTTCCCTTCACTCACCCGGCTGGTGACTGACTCGGACGGTCCAACCTTAAACTGACGGCGCTTGTGGTAAGAGCGGTACACACTCATAGACAGTTGACCAGTATAGCCTTCATTTCTAGCGGCAATGGTCACGCTGGTGTATAGACAGTATTTCTTTTCATCTAAATAAAGATCTATCTATTGTCATGTACGGTAATAGATGTTCGTGATTCAATGATACATTAGGGATGACCAGGACTGGTAATATCGTATAGTTAACCACATAATAAGCATTCGAAGCGAGGCAGTGAGATCAGCTGATCGTTCATTCCAGGTCGCTTTGTTGATGGTTTGCATTCGGTACTGAAAATGATTGCCTTTGATGTTTGAGTATCACACTTTTAAAAAGAAACGTTTTTAAGAAATTGTTGAAAATGTCGCGGGTTCTGCCAACGATGTAATCGAGGGAACTGAGGCGGTGCGGATGAGGTATAAAAGGATTTATTACCTGTAAAAATATATAAATTACATCAACATGAATTGATGTGTCGAGGAAGAAAGAATGTCTTCCCTCGACAATGGCGTGACATGAAGTCGCATTTCATTACGTTGCATAGCATGGCACAATATAATATTCAAACGCTGTTACTTTATATACTATAAATGCAGCAATAAATGATTTCGGCGGCACACGTTATGTGTGACGTCCCCACATTATAAACAAAGTAACATTTTTATGATCTTTCATGTAATAATAAAATATATATACATGATAAACAAATGGAACTTAACCAGATCTTTCACTCACAATCTTACTTACAGGATGGTGCTTTAAACTTAGTGTTTGAATTAGTAATCTCGTGCAACGCGATGCCTTTAGACCGAGTATGATATTCACAATTTACAACATTAATTATTTAGTTTCTACAATCGCGTTACCTATTCTATTGACTAGATTTCCATAAAGAAAGTAGATAGACGCGGGTACATACCTGTAAAAATATATAAATTACATCAACATGAATTGATGTGTCGAGGAAGAAAGAATGTCTTCCCTCGACAATGGCGTGACATGAAGTGGCATTTGAAAGTGTCCACGTCACACCCCAGGTATTAGCACGAGATTCTGCTGGTAAGACAAACAGGAGTAAGATTGAGAGATGAAGCGTCCGTAAAATGAAAAAGAGATAACTCTTGGCAACTAATAAATCCGGCGACACCTTCCCCCCCTTTGAGAAATGTTGTCCTCAACATTAAAATGCGCTGAAGCATCCAAACAGAGAAAAGTGAAACCTTTATACAACTACTTACACACATTATGAGTCCACAACTTTGAAAGTTAACAACACAACTATACAAAAACCTCAAACGATTCAGAGATACCAGCGGCCGATGATGTATCCTCAGAAAGGAAAACATCTTTATCAGAGGAAACAGATGATTTGGCAAGAATACTGTAGTCAGTTACCCAATCGCCATTTCTGAGCCAAAACGGAGGAGCTCTGTTACGGGTAGGCCTCCCCATATCAGAGTTCCGTTCTGACACATGATCAGTGGAGTCTGCAACTACATCCTCGTCATGAGCAGACGTTGTACCGGGCTCCTCTTCCGCTGAAGCAGATGACTGTTCAGGAGGGCTGGAAGTATAGCGTGTTTGAGAACTGTTAGATGATGGTCCAGGAGACGTGTCAGCAGGAAATGAGTCTTCAAGCTCAATCACAGTTCCTACTGTTTCCGTGGATTCCTCTCTATAAGCTTCAGTTCTTTCTTCTAGATCTTGACCAAAGTTAGTTCCATTGGATCCAGTAACCTGAGACACTGGTGGACTAATCGGATCTGGTAACAATACAAATACTTCCTCGGCATTTTCGTCTTCTGACTCCATGAGTTCTTGGTATTCTTTCACCTTCAAGGATACAGATTTCTTCGTCCCTGCCTTTCTTTCATTGTGTTTCTGATGTCCAAACACTGGTTCTGCTGGTATTGACACAAGTGGCAGGAGCATGTTCCGATGAAGTGTCTTCTTCAGTCCTTTGCCATCTTCCTGTTGCAGGGTGAATACTGGGATGTCCTTATTTGGTTGGTTTACAACTTGGAACACATCCCGTCCCCACTTATCAGCAAGCTTGTGTTTCCCAGTAAGTCCTACAAGACGAACAAGGACACGGTCACCAGGTTGGAGAGTTGAGGCACGCACTTTGGCATCATATCTTTTCTTATGACGTTGACCAGCTCTTTGGGCTTCACGTGATGCACTTTCATAAGCAAAGTTTAATCTCTTTCTCAATTTGTTGATATATTCAGTCGTGGTAGTGTGGTCATCACCAATCTTCTTGACTCCAAGGAAAGCATCAACAGGCAGGCGTGGATGTCTACCAAACATAAGGTAGAAAGGTGAGTATCCTGTACTCTCATGCTTTGTGGCATTGTAGGCGTGAACCAGTGGAGAAACATAAGTCTTCCAGTCAGTTTTCTTATCTTCTTCAAGGGTTCCCAACATGTTCAGAAGAGTCTGATTGAATCTCTCACACATTCCGTTTCCTTGGGGATGATATGGTGTGGTTCGAGTCTTCCGAATTCCTGTCAGTTGACATAACTCCTTGATGATATTGCCTACAAAGTTTCTCCCTTGGTCGCTGTGGAGTTTGGCTGGAAGACTTATGCTGAAGGCACTGACAAATTATGTCATCAGCTAGATATCATAATACAATGTTCACTATAAAAGAAATGAAAATCACAACTCAATTTTGATATTTAAGGGTTAGTTGGTGCATGTGTCATAAAAACGATTTTATGGATGCATGGTGGCTGTATTGGATTGCCAAATACTACCGTGATTATATTTCCATATGATAAATAAAAGAGGGGCTGAGGGGCAGGGCCAAAAAGAGTTTATAACTTGGACACATTTAAGATCCCCACGGTATAACCATATGTACAATTGCTGAGTAGAACAAGAGGAATGCAGGTTCTTGGCTTCCATTATATGCACATTCTCTGTCAGAAAATAGATTGTTGCATGCGTATGTAGCAACAATTTGATTTTGATTTGATATTTTCGATGCCATTCCTATTCATCTGGAACTGTTTCAGTCATTCCTTTTAAATATTGTTTCAACTTCAATAAACTTGATTAGTATATAAAAAATGTGCCTTTGTTTTCATTTATGTTCCCTCTCCTAATAGCCATGTGAAGTTATTATTATCCTGTGATGTACCGCAGCTTTTCCTTTTAACCGTTACTACAACATAGTGACAAAAGTTATTTCCCACTGGGCGTTAATAAGGGTGGGAGCGCCACCTAGCGGCGACGAAAAAGGACGTGTGTGTGAAAGGCTCCGCTCAAAATCGTCAAAATGGCCCGAAAATTAAAGGTACACTCCAAATTGTAAGCACACTACTGACACATCAGTGGGAGAAACAAGATGGGATGTGATATCTGTCAATAAAGAAGTCGAATTGGCTGTTTTATGTCGACTTTTCTATAATTTATGCAATCATGTGCCAAAACGAAGTCAGCCATGCGTTATCTCATGCTGCACGCACCGAACGGCCTGAGAGCAGGGTGCAAGATGTTATTATTTCTCTCGCTGCTTGTTATCGTCACCAGTAACGACATAGAGAAAAGTCCCGGCCATAGACAACATCAAGTTCCTTTGGAATGTGAATTAAGCGCTGCAGAACTTTTCTAAGAAATTAGAGACATGCGGACCGAAATGAATGACAACTTTGGAAAGCTGGGGGATAGAATGACTGCGTTGGAACGTGAGGTGTCGGAGCTGG